TCCTCCCCCTCTCTGAGCTGGCCTCAGGCTGGGGGGGCCCCCACTGGTTACTGCCCCAGGCCCTACCTGACAGGGTCCCAGCCCATGGGAACCCCTCCTCAGTCCTACCTCTGTGGAGAGGACCAGGCACAAACCTATTTATTAACATACCACAGAACCCTGAGAGGGAGTGGCGTCGCCTGGGGGCAAGGGTGGGCCTGGCCCTACCCCTACCAGCCTCCACTGGTCTGTATGTCCGTCCTCCCCCTTGCCTCTAGTCAATTTACTGTCCTTGGGGGATGGGGATGTCTTGGCTTCTCCCTTCCCCACCTGTCGGGGTCTCTTAGGTATTTTGCTGCTCTGAGGCTCCTGGTCCCAGGGACCCCTAAGCAGGAGCCCGGCTTTGGATGCCCAAGCTCCTCTCTCCTCCTTCCTTTCTTACTCTGGAGAGGTCTTTAGGGCCTCTCCTGGAGATTTCTGACTGGGCGTGGCCTATTCCCACCCTGCCCCCTCTAGCTCTTTCTGTCAGGAGGGCCCCTAGCATCCTAGAGGGGAGGGGTGACTTCTGAGGTTCTTGGACTCAATGGCTTCTGGAACAGGCAGAGTCCTCCCCTGGCCTCCTCGAGGCCCTGAGAGGGACAGGGCCCAAAAATGGTTGGGGGGAGGGGCTCCAAGATTGTTTCTCTGTGGAGTTACGTGCAGTGTTGGCGTGTTCTTGTGTCTGACTCTAGGTGTGTGTGTGTGTGTGTATGTGTATGTGTGTTGGGGAAGGGGAGAAATGCCACAGGATCCCCAAGTGGCTAAGAACCCAGAGAAGGACCTTCAGGGACCCAATAGGACACCTCCCCTCCCCCAGCCTTGAGCTGAATCTTGGGGCAGTGACTCTGTATCCCAATGGAGTTGGGTGAGGGGACCTTAAAGAAGGTCCATCCTCAGCCCTGACCCCTTATTCCTTGTTCCCTCTGGATTCCTGCCAGGGCCTGGGACCACCTGACTTTGTAGTATCCCTCCCCTTCCCTAACCAACAGCCCCATCCCAACTGGCCCCCCTTAGGAGGGTCTGGTCACCTGGTTCTCCCAGCAGAAGGGGAACGGGGGCTTCTTGGAGAGGCACGTTGCCAGGCCCTGACTGGGGAGGCTCCAGAAGCTCTGGGGCAGCTAGCTCTCTTTCCACCCAAACTAATCCAACTAGCTTAGGTAGCCCCTCCCCCCACCCCTCCACCCCCAAAAAAGTTGAGTGTTTGGTGACCACCTGGTGTGAGGGTGCTGCGCCTGTCCCCTGGCCACTTGGCAGGAGCTGGGGGATGAACCTCAGTGACACTAATTTAGACCCCTACCCACCCCAGTGCCCAGGAGGCTGCTCCTGAGGCTGACTGCCAGGGGGCGCTGTTGCTAATTAGGGCGCTAAGAAAACAGCTGGGCCTCGGACAGCTCTCACCCCTCTGCCCATTGGTTGTAGAATCAAATCTTGGACAAACATGTACTTTGCAAAGCTGCTGCTTACAGAAGTCTATTTTTTTTTCCTTCTGAATAAGAGTTTTAAAAAGTTGTAATTTTTGTGTCTTGTCGTGTAAGAGAATAAAGAAATAATTATTCTAAGTAGATTCCTCTAGTCCTGAGCTCTGGCTTGGGGCCAGCAATGGGCCAAAGGGACAGCGTCCTGTTCAGGCATGGCCAGTGCTGCAGAGGCCTCTGGGAAGCACCAATCACTGACTGGGGGAGGCAGGAGCGGGGTCCCCTTCTGCCACTTAGTGGCCATGGGACCTCAGGAAAGCTTCTTTCTGGGCTTCAACTTCTCCATCTGTAAAATGGGATAATAATCTGAACCTCCTTCCTTCCACCAGCCTCTCCAGATGTCTCTGTGGTCAGGATCTGTACCTGGGTTGCCCTGGGGGTCTGCTTTGGTGGAGATAGAGCAAGGAGGCAAGGATCCATGGGCCTGCCCTCCCTCCTCCACCCCACCCCCGAAAGGCTAATAGGCCCTGAAACTAGTATACTGGGATTCTTGTGACTGGTCCCCTTCAGGGGCCTTGTCACCAGGTAGATCTCACCCTAGGGCAGGTCCAGCCAAACCAGACAGACTTGGATGGTTGGAGGAGCCTAAGGCCCGTAGAGTACCGCCCTGAGACACTGGGGAGATGCTCTTTGCAGACCAGAGGGTGCTATGTCACTGGCCCTGAATCATTCATCCTGATTATTCAGGATTATTCCTACCTGGGAACCTCCCTAACTAGGGTGAACCCTAAGGCGATGAAGACTGCCTTCTCCTAACAAGTCCAAGAGGGCTTGGGATCAACATCCCACCCCAGCCTTAGAAGACAGGGGTTTTTCTGTTTCACGGACTGAAAACCAGAGAGGAAAACACATGAGGTCGCAAGTCAGGGGCCAAGAATCCCAGAATCTCCTCTAGCCCCGAATCAGGCCAGTAAAGGATCCTGCAGCCCACAGGACAAGTGGTCTTCCAGCTGTTCTTTGGGGACCCCATCCCACCGCCAGGCAGCCCCTTGTAGAGCTTGGAAGTGTTGGTTGATTTCTAGCCTCAGTTTGTCCGAACCTTGGTCTCCCTCTCCCTCCCCGTCCCCCTTCTGCCCTCTGAGGCCAAACCAGAACAGGCTAATCCCTACTCCTTAGGGCGGCCAATCGTCAGGTCCTCGAGTCTTCTCCGACCTGAGCACCTCCCCCTAAGCGCCCCTTTCCCGTCGTGCTAGTCCCCTTGGCCCACATGGTTTCCAGCCTACCAGCATCCTCCTGGGAGCACGCAGGAGCCGACACAGCACACCCAGCGTGGTCTGCCCTGACGTGGGCAGAGGTCAGCAGAGCGTCTCCTCAATCTGCCCCTCCCCGGAGCTGGTGTTTCTCAGAACGGCCGTCCAGTCGAGCCCAACCAAGCCTCCCGTCCACCTGGAAGGTTGATTTCTTGAACCCAAAGACAGGATATGACATGTTTCTATTGAGTTGCGTGTTATTCCAGCCTTCTACTCAGGAAACTCCCTTTGGAAACTGTGTCCTTCGATTCCCATCGTCAGCATCATCCATCTCCCAACGTTTTTCTCCAATTCGTTGGAGACCAGCAGTTCTTACTGTGGTTAAAGAAATCATAAATGTATGTACTGAGATTATTACTTGTGGCATAAATCATCAGTGACCCTCCCTCTCTGTGGTCTGAACATTCCACCAGCTCCAAATGCTGGGACACTAGTCCCAGTGTCTAGGTCACATGTGTCCAGCTTTGTGCGTCAAAATATGACATGAGATGTTTTATCCAACACTTTGCTAAGGTAAATGGAAAGTGTACCTATACAACTCCCCCATCTATGAAATTGAGAACCCCATTAAAAAGGAAGTGACATCAGTCCAGGAAGCCTGGGGCTTGACGAAACCTTGCTTGGTCTTGGTAATAACTGTAAGTGCTGGGCCTGTAGTCAGAAAGACCCGAGTTCAAATTCAGCCTCAGACACTTACTAGCCATTGTGATGCTGGGCAGGTCATTTAAACCTCTCTCTGCCTTAGTTTCCTCCACTGTAAAATGAGGATAATAATGGCCCTGACCTCCTAGTGTTTGTAAAGTGCTTAGTGCAATACCTGACACATAGTAGGCACTTTTAATACACATTTGTTTTCTTCCTTCCTCTCTCCCTCCCTTCCTTTCTTCTTTCCTTGTTATTCACTAACCAACCCTTTCCTGATCAATTCTGTAATCTCCCCAGGACTCAAAGTCAAGCTCACTGGCCTATAATTTGAAGACTCTGGTCTCTTCCTCCCCATGATTAGTATATTGTTTCCCCTTTTCTAGTTTTGGGGTTCATCTCCCATTTTTCATGCTCTTTCAAATACCCCTGGCCAAAGCTCAGCCAATATGTCTCTGCCCATTTTTTTCAGAGCCTGAGTCTGAATTCATGCAGGGCAGCTCAGGGCCCTCTTCCTTTTCTTGGCTCTCCATTCCCTCGGCCATTTTTGCTCTGACTTGGCCAGCTCCACTTTCTTTAGGAGCAGTGACCTCTCTCTCTTCTTGGGGCCTCTTCTTTCCCACAATGCACCTCTAAGAGCCTGGGGCTATTGGCTGCCTGGCACTGGAGCCCCTTTTCTAGCTCGATGCCCCTGCTTCAGAGCTCTTCTACCCCAGATCAGTAGCAAGCCTGGCCTCCACTCCCATAGCTCTTTCTTAATCCCCATTTCAAGGTGGGTCCCTGGCATGCCCACTCTTTTCTTCAAACAACTCCCTTTTTCTTATGTGGATCAGAGCTATTTGTGAATTCTGATTGACCTTTTCTATCCTGGGTGGGATTTTCCTGTAGAATCAGTGTCTGTGGGGGCACCTTCTTCTGAACTCTGGAATCCCTCTGTCCCCAGTCTTCTAATGGGTGCCAGGCTGTTATGGAGCACCTTCAGACACATTGATACTCACGTCCTTTCTGACAGCCCCCTCCCCCAGGTCCTATCATCTACCACCAGGGCCTGGCCCTACCTCCCCTGAACTGAGAATCTTTCAGGTGAGGGTTCGCCCTTTGTTAGGCTCTCCACCTTTTTGAGGAGGAAGCTGTCATTGCGTTTGGCTTGCAAATGAACTAGAGTCATATATATGTGTACATACACATAGAGTTTTATATATAGTTTTAGAATATATACGTAGGCATACATCTGTTCTTGTATTCCTACCTATATGTGTACAGATAGATAGACAAAGATAGAAAACTCATTTGATGAGCCTTGAACCGGAATAAACTTGGGCTGGGCCTGGGTTGGAGCTAGGATGATGTCAGGCTGGCTACCTGCACTGAGGAAGTCCTGGAGTTCAGGGTTCACCAGGGCTGCTGGAGTGGGTGGAGCTGTCTTAGCCTAGAGGGCAGGGAAGCAGAAGGCCCGCCCCCAGCCTCCCATTGGACCAAAGACGCAGCCCAGACCCACCCTCTGCCAACCCTGGTCCTCAGCTTAGTGCAGCCTGGAGTGGTGCATTGTGGGAAACTCCCAGGTTCTTTTTTTCCTCCCCACCCCCATTCTTCTCCTCTTCTTCCTCCTCTTCCTCCTCCTCCTCCTCCTCCTCCTTATCTTCCTCCTTCTCCTCCTGTCCCTCCTGTCTCTGTGCATCCGGTAGCAACCAGAGAGGTGGGAGAGAACCAGCCTGGTCTGGTCTGACCCTGATTTCTGGTAAGCACCTCATTCCTCAGCTGACTTTTTGTTCCTGCCTGGTGAGGATGAAAGGAAGTGGAGACTGGTATCTGGGACCTGGGATCCAGGGGTGGTGAGTCGGGAGAGAGCTCCGGGGCTTGGGGGTCGAAGGAAGGGTTTTCCCTTCTTGGGGGCTCAGTGCTGCACCACCTGCTTGAAGGTCACTGGGATTAGAAAAGGAGAGGGGAGATGCTGGGGGCCAGGGTCCTCCTTCCTTCTCAGGCAGCAGGCTGGGGCAGCTGGACCTCGTGACCCCTCCCCAGCGGCAGCTGGCTGTGTCTGCGTAGCACACTAGAAGGGGACAGGAATGAAGAATAAAACCTGGGAGGGCTCTTAGGGCTGGGGGGGGGGGGCGGGCCCTTTTGGGGAGGGGCAGGCGTGGTACTTTGTATTTAATGGCGTCATTCTGAGGTTTAAAATAGCCCCAGGTGAGGGGAAGGAGGGTTCTTGGTCTCGCCTTCCTTCTCCTCCTCTTTCTCTTCACCTGGAGTTTCTGACAAGGCTTTTCTCCCCTGGGAGGGAAACCTTAGCACCAGGATCCTTCCCAGATTCTGTGCAGAGCAGAGCTGAGGGTGCGGGGGAGAGAGGGAGGGGCCCTCCAGGGTCCATCCACCCCTCATTCCAGAGCGGGCCAGAGGAGGGGGAGAGGCTCAGGGCCCCCCCTTCTCTCAATAATGGGGGAGGAGGGAAAAGCCTGAGCTTTGACTTTCAAGGTGACCTTCAGAAGGCTCTGTAGGGCAAAGGCGTGGCTTCTACCAGGCCTGGAAGACAGGATGCAGGCAGCAGCCCTCTGTCCCTGAGCTGAGGAGAGGAGGCTAGGTACCTAAGTGTTCCCAGCACAGAAGCAGGGTGGGGAGCCGTGAGAGCCTGGGCTCCGGGTGCAGCCTGGCAGGCTGATTTCAGCCGGCTGCAGTTTGGAGAGCTCCTGGTGGTGAGGTCACCCTTTGAGGCAAAGCTTTCTCGCAGGATGTTGACCCAATCTCAGGTCGTCTCGGCCTCTGCGCCCAGCTTCAGGCTTCTCCCAGACACTGAGACTCTCGGGGTCTTCCTAAGCCCAGTGGTCACGCCCAGATCTCAGGTCACATGACTGCTCCAGTATTGCCTCCCAGATCCTGGGACCACCCTCACAACCCACCCAGTCCCTGAGGCTGCCTCCATGCCCCTGTTCCCCCCTGCAGGGGCTTAGTCTCCACGGCATCAAACTGGGAGGGGAGGCCCCACAGGGAGGAGCTGGGGAGGGGGGTGCTGCTCACCTGGCAGTGGTCGCTACCCTGGAGACAGGCCCGAGGCCCAGTGGGAGCTCTCAGAAGAGTCACTTAGAGGGAGGAGAAGCCAAAGCAGGTGCTCTGTGTACCTGTGTGTGTCTGTGATCTTATGGGTGAGGGGCAGGGACACGGAGGCCCTCAGAGCTGGAGCTGGGGCAGGAAAAGGAAGGAGGGGCAGCCCTGGGAGGAGAGGTGCCCTGCTCTGAGCACACCGTGCCCACAGAAACAGGCGCTAGGAAAAAGAGGAACTCACTGAGTGGTCCTAAGCAAGCCACCTCAGTTTCCTCATCTGCAAAGTGGGGCTAATAGCACGATGTCTATCAGGGTTGGTGTGAGGAAAGCGCTGGACAGTTACAGTGGGTTCAATGCCAGGAGGCATAGGGCAGCTGGAGGGAGGCCCTCTCATTAATGCCACAGGCCTCCAAGCTCCATCCCAGAAGCCTCTGCCAGGCTCAAAGGACTCGGAGCCCAGAGCACTATTTGGCCTGAGCCCTGAGGATGCCCTAGGTGCCCTGTAGCATCTCCATCCCAGCCAAGGCCAGAACAGGGCACTTCCCAAAGCCGGAGTCTGCAAATCCAGGGGAAACTGAACTGCCTTGGGGTGAGTCACTGAAGTGAGCTGGGCCTCAGCTATTACATCTGCAAAATGGAATAATAGCGTGTTGTTCCTGCTTTGTTGGGCGTTTTGAGAGCTCAGTTCATTCAGTAAAGCTCTCTTGGTAGGGTGGCGCTGTGCGAGGGACCCAGATGAGACAGAGGTGCAGGAGTGCCGGGCCTGATTCTGGAACATCCTCCTTAACTTGTGACTGCAGGACCCCTTCACGTGTGAGGAGCCTCAGCTCCTTTTCTAGCCCCGTGTCCTCCCTGCTCCACCATCTGTACACACACATGCCAGGGTCCTGCACATACACATCCATGTGTACACATATTCCCGTGTCCTCCCTGCATGTACTCATCTGTACACACATCCCAGGGTTTCACAGACACCCACACACATACACACTTGTACACACCCATCACGGGTCCTACACACACGTACACATATGTCCCATGTCCTCCCTGTGCCACCATCTGTACACACACATGCCATGGTCCTCCACACCCACACCCATGTGTACACACACATCCCGTGTCCTCCCTGCATGTACTCATCTGTACATATATCCCAGGGTCTCACACATACACACACACACCATCATGGGTCCTACAAACATGTACACATACATCCCATGTCCTCCCTGTGCACACATACACATGCATCCCAGGGTCGGGTCCTACACACACACACACACACACACACACACACACACACCTGTACACATACATCCTGGGTCCTACATTCACACACATACATACACATCCCATGTCCTCCCCACATGC